CAAAATACTTCACTTCTAGGCCATGGTTTATATGTAGACAAAGGATTAGATTTAGTCTGCCTGTGGAGAACATATGAGCCTGAAACCTAGAACTGGAAAGGACCTCAGACATCCTTTTGGTCTGATCCTCTATTTTATAGGCTCACAAAAGCTCACATGGCTCATCCAGTGTCATGCAGTTCATGGTAGAGCTAAGGTCAGATTTTAGGTCACCATTTCTTAATTTAATGATCTTTCCAATAGCTAGGTAATGCGGTGGATAAAGCACTGGGCCTAGAGTAAGGAAGACATGAGTTCAAATCTGGCCTCAGACACCTAGTTGTGTGACCCTGGGCAAGTCACTCAGTCTACCTCAGTCTCCTCAACAGTAAATAGGAATAAAAATACCACCTACCTCCCAGGGTTGTTCTGAGAATCAAATGAGGTAATAATTGCAAGTACAATGCCTGGCACTTAAATATTTAATTCCTTGCTTCCTTCTCATTATGCTACATTCTAACTGAGAAGTAGGTCAGTATAACTGAGGGGCAGTAAAAGAGTAGAATTCACATTAACTTCAAAGGTCTTTCCTCCCTAAGAACCTTAAAGATTAGAGTTGGAACCTTCTGGGGGGCCATCTGCATATCACCAAGCCTTCCTTGTGTTCTTAGGTGATCATCTTCATCTCCTTCCCTTCAGAACCTTGGACTATGCTCTTGGGACCCCAGGTAAACTTTGTCTTTCCCTCACTGAGTCCCAGATTTCTACTCCACTTCCTTGGAGAAATATCACTGGTGGTTTTTGCTTGTTACCCTACCTATTTCTCCCACCCTTTTATGTGTTATCTTCTTCATTAGAATGCAAGATCCCTGAAGGCAAACATTGTCTTACCTGCTTGAATTTGTATCCCTGGTGCCTAGCCAAGTGCCTGTCACATAGTAAGCACTTAATAAATGTATTGGCTTTCTTTCTATCTACCTATATATTTGATGGAGGGGATGTGACATGATCAGACCTGTGCTTTAGGGTAATCATTTTGATGGCTGAATGGAAGATGGATTGGAGTTAGAAGGGACTTAAGACAGGTAAATCCACCACAGGCTATTTGTAATAATCCAGGCATGGGGTAGCGAGGGCCTGTACCAGAGTGGTGGCAGTGTCAGAAGAGCGAAGGGAGCATATTCTAGAGATATGGAAAAGGTGAAATCAGCAGACCTTGGCTTTAAATGCAAACAGGAGTTCCTACTTGATTTTAGAGGTATTATGGAGCCACTGGGGTTTATTGAGTCTGGAGGTAACATAGCCAGACCAGCACCTTGCTTATACACTGACCCCTGAATCAGCATTTTCCAGTCTTGGCAGGACAGAAGGACAATTAACCCTTCTGCAAAGAGTTGTTATCTCTAGAACTAATAATAACTCTGGAATATCAAGATACTATATTAACCAGGGCACCTTCTGATGCAAGTAACAAAGATATAAATCTTACGAGTCCCTCAGGGAAATAGATGTGTTCTAATTGTATTCTTGGGCTCTAGGGTATGAAACTCATGTGGAAACATTGGATGTGAGTGATTCATTGGGAAGCTCAGACAGAACAGTGTGCTCTCTGGGGGTGGGTGAAAGGGGTTGGGGGAGGGTTAAGGATGCCTCTAGGGAACATACTTAGAGGGCCTATGTGACTGAATACCAGAACCACATAGACAAATACCTCACTGCTGCTACCCACTGTTGGGCCTCTCTCCTCATCCTCGGAGATTTTTGGGTAACCACTGGTGGGTTCAGCAGAGCAAAAGAGTCACCAATTCAACATCCACTTAGATAGCCATTGCAAGTGCCTCAGAGAATTCTTGTCTCCCCCACCCAAAGGAATAAACACTGCTAGACAAAACAAATGGCAAAAGACTGCCAGCTCCCCTTCTAGTGAGAGACAAGGGTGAAAAAGTCGGGACTCCCCTCCATCTGTGGAACGATCATTTGGATACCTCCCTGCTCTTCAGTGTGGCTAACAGCTCCCAGTGACCAGAGGAGAAGATTAAGTTCCACACAGTGCCAGAAAGAGTGCATGGCTACACCCCAGGCTCAAGCACGTCCTGCTGGGTTCCATTTGTTATTTCGTATGCCCTTGGAAAGAACACTTTTCTTTTCCGAAGGTCCAAATTCTTAGTTCTCAATAAGTTTGCCATGTGCCACACATGGTGTAAGTATCAGAGGTTTTCTGACTATGTTTGTTTGTTGGATTTCAGCAAGGGGCTATGACATTTCCCTCCCTACCCAACTATTCTTTCCCCTCTCCTCCTTTTTCTTCCCTCCCTGAGAAAAAGAAAAGAAAACCTGAAGCACAATGCTAAAGGGAAATGAAACTTTGGCCAGCACCCATCCAACAAGGCTCAGTCAATTTTTCTTCCCCAGGAAAAAGCAACTTCTGTACTTTGTATCTAAGCTGTCTTAGGAAGCTCTGCCAAAGCACCAGTTTTTCTCATTTGTAGGAAACCCGGAAAGCAGACAGCCATGTGTGACCTTCACTGGCTGCTGTGCAAAAGAGACAGCTCAGCTGGGGCTTGGGGGCTCCAAGCCGACAGGAGCAAACACTTCAAGACATCCGTTTAAGTAGGGAAGGATGAGAAAGGAATGGAATAAATCATTCTCGGGGCTGAGTACTCCAGTTTACAGGATGTGTGCTATAGGGTGATGGAAAGAGCCCTGGACAAGATAGTCAGGAGATCTGGGTTCAAGTTCCAGTGGCACTTTTTCCTAAGCATTTAACCTTGGACTGTTCATTTCACCTCCCTTACCTCAATTTCCTCACTTCTAAAATAAAGGAGTTAGACTAGTTGACCTCTAAGTTCCCTTAGACCTCATATATTCTAAGACCCATTTTTTTTCTATTCTGCTCCAATAAGATGAGCAATGGTAGTAGGATAGATGATAAAAGCAGCTAGGTAGCTCAGTGATTACAGTTTCGGGACTAGAGTCTGAAGACCTGAGTTCAAATATTCCCTCAGACACTTACCACCTGTGACCTTGGGCAAGTCACTTAGCCATGTTTAACTCAATGAGTCAAATGAGCTAGAGAAGGAAATGGCAAACCACTCCAGTATCTTTGCCAAGAAAACTCCAAATGGGGTCACAAAGAGTCAGACACAACTGAAAACAACTGAACAACAACAGATGATACAGGAGGAAACACCAGATTCTGTATAAACACTGTGAGGCACAGGAGAGAGATAAGGAAGACCTGACAGTTCTGTCTCTGACACACAGTGTATCCCCTCTGAGGCTACTTCCCCAATTCCCACTTGTACCCTAGAGGTGGCTGCTACTGTGCTCAGAGCTCTAGGGGCAATCTTTAATGGCTGGAGTTCTAGTGCTATTGTTCACATGCCCCACAACTGTGTTTCCCATTGACATTGGCCAGCCAGACTTCATTTAGCTTTGAGTAAAAGGTATTTGTAGAGGGAAGAAGGAAGGAAGGAAAGGAGGGAGGGAGGAATAAAGGGAGAGAGAGAGGGAAGAAGGGAGGAAAGCAGGAGGAAAGAATGAGGAAGGGGGAAGGAAAGAAGGAAGGAAGGAAGGAAAGAGAAAGGGAGGGAGGGAGGATTTATTAAGCACCTACTATATGCCAAAGCACTATGATAAGCATTAGCTCATTTGATCCTCACAATATCCCTGGAAAGTAAATGGTATAATCCCCATTTTCAGTGTAATGAAGGAAAACAGAAGTGAAGGGAATTGCCTAGGGTCCTACAACTAGCAAGTATCTAAGGGCAGATTTGAACTCAGGTCTTCCTGACTCCAGGTCCAGCACTCTATCCACTCTGCCACTTAACTGTTGGTACATTCTCTCACAAATATGCAGAGCTCAGGGGAAGAGTAGGCTTAAACTTACAGAAGGATGATGGTAAGCCACACATGTAGAGAACACATGTGGGCAAACGGTAAACTCATAATTTCTGATTACTGGTAGTCCTTCCTTAAGCCCATAGCCAGCATTCTTCTCTAGTACAAGGGGTCATTTTCCTTGGAACTGCTTCCTCTCTGGTGGCTGTCTAGCTCTCTGTATGCATCTGTGTCCACTTTTGCCTGCAGTGTGTTCTCTAGATGCTACTGTCGCATCTCTCCACTGACATGGTTATTGAGACAGAGTAGGGGATAGGGAAGAGAGAAAGAGAAGAGCCTAGCTGGAATCCTCTGGAATGAAATCTTCTGCTGCTGGATCAGTTCACTGCTTCAATGGACAAGTGCTACAATTTCTCCAGCTACTTAAAGCCCCCAGGATTATGGTTAGCTTTTTCTGATTAATCAAACATGCTGAGTATTTCTCTACCCAATTAGAGAAGAGTTTGCACATGATAAAGAGATCACACAGTACAGACAATCCTGTTCACACACAGTTAAAACCTAATCATGTCTGAGGTGGAGAGTGTCCCTCTCTTACAAACATGACAATGTGACTTTGGGCAAGTCACTTAACTTTATAGTTAGACAATTTATATGATTACAAATTTTGGGAGCAGATGCTGACCTGCATTAGTAGAGGGACTTTTTTCCTCTGGAGTTCATTACACTAATGAAATCACAGATCTGATTAAAAAATAAAACAAACAAACAAAAATTTTGAGTTTGTTTCTCCAAGGAAATGAACTATGTATGGTCCCTTACAACAAATGTAAGAACCTCATGTGTCTGAAAGTGTGTCATCACAGGCAAGTATACTTTCCCCCCTGAGCTTCAATTTCCTCATCTTTAAATGGATATGAGAAATCTTGCAATGACCTACCTGGATTCTACTCTATTCAAGAAGTATTTATTATTGTACCCTATCCCTTCCTCCCCCTCCTGTGCCAGGTATTTGCTAGAGGTACAGAGAAAAGGAAATAGTCTTGCCCTTATGGAGCTTACATTCTATCAGAGGAAGAAGGGACAGTGAAGCCCTTTGAAAACCCCAAAAGGCTATGGAAATACAAACTATTATTTTCATTACTGTTGCCCACTTTCAAGCTTCCAACCTTTCTTTTCAGGGGTCATAGATGATCGTTTTCATGACTCAACACCCCAGCATGAGACCTGCTTTTGGAAGCTTTGTGAGGAGCTATGAAAAAGAAAAAATTTGCACTTGAATCAAAACCCTGGAATCACCAGCCTCCTACTCTGGATCCCCATCATTCCTTGACCTAACAGAGAGAAGAACAGAGAAAAATGTGGGAAACAGTAAGTTGTGGCTGAGCAGACACATTTTATTTAAGTACTACTTATCTATGTCAACTCAACAGGTGTGCTGATACCAGTGAAATGATAATGCAAACTACCTTTTCAATCCCATCAAGGCTTTTAGGCAACATTGGAATAAAAGGGCTAATTCTGGCAGTCAGGCTTTCTTGTAATGAGTCTTTAGCATATCTAAGGACAAATCTAAGAATTCCCTGGATGGTCAAGGTAAAGCCAGGAGAAATGCCTTTTCCATTCCAAATTCTGGTAGTGGATAATCCAGAATATTTCAACAACAATCAATGGGCTAGGGTTAGTGGCTAAAAACATCTAAATATTACAGCCTTATGGAGGGAACAATTTTCCCAGGTTGTGAATTATTCAAATCTCTAATGTCTCCCCTGCTTTTTATTCTACTATATTTCTTTGGGATGAACACAGAATTTCTCTGCTGATCACTAGACAAGGTCCTGGAGAAGGGGTCATGTCTAGCAAAAATCATTCTCAATAACTTTTCCTACTTAGGATAGATTTAATGTTGTGTCAGTAGTGTTTAATGGTTTGGTGAGAAATGGGATTGACTGACTATAATGGGACTTGTACGCTCTTTGTTAAGCTCTGTTACATGAGCTTTTGGTCTTATGGATAATTGAAAGTTTACTGCCTTATGACATCAGATTTTTTTTTGATGTATTGATTGGTTTTGCTGATGTTTTTCTCCTCTTTTTCTTTTCATTAAAATTCTTTGTTATAAGAGATAGCTCTCCAGGTGGGGAAGGTATACAAGAGGAAGTCTGTTGTTGTTCAGTCATTTCAGTTGTGTTTGACTCTTGGTGACCAGATCTGGGTTTGGTTTTGTTTTGGCAGAGATACTGGAGTAGTTTGGCATTTCCTTCTCCAACTCGTTTTACAGGTAAAGAAACTAAGGCAAAGAGGGTGAAGGGACTTGCTCAGGGTCACACAGCTAGTAAGTGTCTAAAGCCAAATAGGAACTCAGGAAGATGAATCTTCCTGACTCCAGACCTGGCATTCAATCTACTGTGGCACCTAGCTGTCTAGGAGATGTGAAAAAAAGGAAAGATGTCAAAAATAAAAAATAAAAAGAAAGCTAGCTGCCTAGTACTAAAAATACATTATACTATTCAAGCAGCGGTGGTAGTGGTATCGTATGCTATGCTGAGCTAATGGGGGCAGGGTTGTCATTCACTGTCACTGGGCCTTCTTCTTTGTATGAATCTGATTCCCTCTTTTCTAGCCACTCCCTCAGTTCTTCTCAAAAATTACTTTATAGCTGCTCCCTTAGCCTCGCCCCTTTGGCATGACTTGGTTTTCCTTATAAGCCAGACCTAAAGGGGAAAAAATAAAGTGGAAAAGGAAGGGGTCAAGATATACCTCCCATACCAGGATTTTATCTTAGCCTCCCCAAACCAAAGCTGCTGACTAGTTTAGAATAATCCAGGTTTAAGTTTTTGTCTTTGCTCCAGTAAGTTATAAAATTGAATTAACAATCCTCTTTTGTTCATTCCAAGCCAGTAGGCCAGGAAATAGCCTTATAATTGTAAAATTCATCTGTCATATTCTCACCACCCCACCACCTCTAACCTATAGTCTTTCTCTCTCTACCATACATTTTAGTGAAGAAACACAAAAGTCCCTAATGCTATGGTTAACAATGTTGTGTGGGTTGTTTTTGTTTGTTTGTTTGTTTCTTTTTTGTTGACAATTAAAGGTGAGGAGGAAGTAAAATGAGGTTTATAGAATCAGAGAGAAGCTTCAGGAACAGATTTGAGGTTTCCTGAGAAGGGAGAGGCAGGGGAAAGGACAAGGTTTCAATAATCCTTGAGCATTTCACAGCAGAAAAGATTTTGAAAGACCACAAAATGTCAATTGTAGATCAACGTCTTCTTCATTCAACTTATTCCTTCTTTAAGGAGTTTCTCTCTTCCGAGTAAGCAGATCTATTCAGAATTCACTTGACTTCAGATTCAACACAGGCCTCAATGGTCTATATATCCTCAATTTTTCTTAAGGCCATTCTTGGTGTCCAGACTTAATTAGGCACTTTGAAGCTTCAAGCTTGCTTGTCAGCAGAAGCTGAGCCTGGCAGAAGGCTTCCCTCACACTCAAAGTCACCATAAATGCAAGATGGATATTACAATGGAAGATGCTGGTGAGCAGGGTGGGTGGGGGTGGGGAGGGGGCAGCCTTTGAAGTCTGGCGAGGAATCACTACCAGTTATGACTCTGCCCCTCTGGAACAGTCTAGTAAAACAGAATTTGCCCAGATCTGCCTCATGGCACTGGAATTCTGCCTTTAAGGCCTGCATTGGTGCTGGCCACTTCCCATTATTACACTCTGGCCCCCATTTCCATGATAGCCTTTCTTCTGACCGCTATTCTTCCATTCAATAACTCATCCTGGCTATTCCTCAGGGCAACTTCTCTCAAATTAGCCTCTTGCTCCTGAGATGCACTTTCTATTCCCTGGTTTCCTCTTTTCCTCTCCCCTAGGTTAGAAGGGCTTACTTGTCCATCAAAGCCTAGCTCTAAGCAGTCACAGGGTCAAGGTAGCTCCCCTGGGGAATGAGAAGAACTGAGATTTCTGTTCACCAATGGGGTCCAGAATCTTGTCATGCTATATATACAGAGAAGAGTTATGGCAGAGTTGATGGAGGGCTAGCCTTGGAGTCAGGAAAACCTGTGTTAGAGTCCTGCATTTGAAACATGCTAACCATTTGTCCATGGGAAATTTAACCTTTCAGGACAACTAACTTCTCTCAAGTTAGCCTCTTACTCCCAAGATATACTTTTTAATACCTGGTTTCCTCTTTTCCTCTCCCTTTTAACCTTCTGATGACTCAGACAGCTCTCTAAGAATACAGTTATGGTTAAGTTGTCAATCTGCAAGAATGAAAAGTTTCTTCACTTGGAATTCCCTATATAGATAAAATTATAGATTTAGACCCTTCCTCATACACATGCACATTTAAAAAAACCCTCTAAAACCTAATTTTAGATACTAGTTGATTCTTTTAAAGTAGAATATGGCTACCATTTTGAAAGGATACTACTTCAATGTAGATGGAATGATTTAAATTAGATAAAAAGGAAAAATCTTACTCAAATGTGAAAGGTTATTAGACACTGTAAGGTATCTAAAAAAGGTAAGAATTCATATTATCTTTTCCTCTGGATATGTTTGAAAAATGAGATGAACTTCTATTTGACCGGGATGATTTAGGACAATGTTTCCCAACCTTTTCTAGTATGTTATTGTTGCTTGGTCATTTTTCAGTCATGTTTGACTCTTCATGATTCCTATTTGGGGTTTTCTTGCAAAGATACTGGAGTGGTTTGTCATTTCCTTCTTCAGCTCATTTTTACAGATGAGGAAACCAAAGAGTTAAGTGACTTGCCCAGGGTCATATAGCCTTTGAGTGTTTGAAGCCAGATTTGAACTCAAGAAGATAAATCTTCCTGACTCCAGGTCTGGCACTCTATCTACTGTGCCACCTAACTGCCCCTCTTAAGTGTGAGACCCCTTTTTAACATTAAAAATAGCCTCTCAATTATTTTCTCCCCCTCCACTCTCCTAAATCTTAACCTATGCACCCTTCTAAATGTCCTTCCTTGACTCTGTTCCCCAGTTTTCTCATCTTTTTCCAAGTTCAGAAGACTTCTACACCCTTCCAGAGACACATATTGTTTCCTCTTCAACCCAGATGAGAGTAAGGTTCTAACATTACCAGCCCTCCATCCCAGCCTGCTTCCTCTGTATTAATTCTTCCTTTCACACCCCGTATTTATGAGAATTGCTCTTTTTTACCTTTTCCTACCCAATTGTGTTTTTTAGAAGCATCCTATCATGCACAACTCAGCCCCAACCTTTCTTTTAAAACACTTTAGCAATGATGACAGTTTTAAGAATACTGATAACATTTTCACTTGTAATAAGTAACAGTTTGACCTTAATGACTGCCTTATAATTAGTCTTTAATGTTTTCAAGATAACAGAGGTACTCTTAAAGGGGGGAGGGGTAAAATAAAGAATAGGAGGGTAAGGGGAGAAGATAAGGTAACAGGAATAGGGTAAAAAGAGAGGCTGAGAAAGAAAATAGTGAGTAAAAATAAGATGGAGGGAAATTCACAAATAGTAATTATAACTTTGAATGTGAATGAGATGAACTCACTCATAAAATGGAAATGGATAGCAGAATGGATTAAAAAGCAGAATCCAACATTATGTTGTTTACAAGAAACACATTAAAGAATTAGGGATACACACAGAATTAAAATGGAGGGTTGAAATAAAATTTATCATGCTTCAGCTTAAATTAAAATTTTAGTTAATTGCATATGTCTGAACAAGTTGTGGCATATGATTGTGATGGAATACTACTGTGCTGTAAGAAATGATGAGCTCAGTGAGCTTAGAAAAACATGGAAAGATTTGCATGAAATAATGAAGAACAAAAATAGCAGAACCGAGAGAACACCGTATACAGTAACAGACATATTGTTTTAAGAATGACTTTGAATAAGTCCTTTTGACTACTATAAATACCCAAATTATCTATAAAGGACATATGAAGAGAGACATCATCTGCCTCCAGAGAAAGAACTGATAAATAGAAGTATATATAAAATAATTTTACATATATATGCCTATTTATGTCTAATGGTAGCCATCTCCAAGGGGAGCAAAAAAAAATGTACATGGTAACTTTATTATATATTTAAAAGGAATAGCAAGCAGTACATAATACACATAATATATTTACAGTTTCATGAGCAATCATCTTTTTATTATATTATGTTATAGAAACACTTGTTTTATTCCATAAATTAAAAACAAGATAATAATTTTTAAAAAATCAAAAATAGAAGCAACTCCCTTTTCTAGGAAGTTCTTCTCCTTCCCTACCTCACTCCCACCATCCTCCTATTGCCCTGAAGTTTTAAAACTATTCTTCTTAACTTAATTCTGCCTTATTCTACATCTAC